TTTATTATATCTATAGAAGATGGCTGTAATGCAACAAAAACCAGGGATATTCTGTGACAGCCTCTTCGTGTTGCTTGTTTTATTGGAGGTATCCCAAAAATGGCTACTATTTAACAGTTACAGTAGTGCTATGGTGATTATTTGAAAGTAAAATGCATATATTTATATTGAAAAAGAAATGTTATCATAATGATCTAATCAGAGTTACAATCTCCATCTTCAATTCCAATTTTATGTGAAGTGTTCGGATTGGCATCCCTTGTTGAAGCATAAATGTTAGAATGTTTATCAAATTTCATTTCAACCAAATAGTAACAACAGAATTGTGAAAGCAAAAGAATGAAATATATACGAAAAATTAAAAATAATTACAAGAAACAGCTACAAATACAAACAAAAAATAATAATAAAAAGAGGGCTTCCCATATTATTTTACTAGTGATGTATATTTAATGATATATTTACTACCTCAATATTTATGTATTTTACATCTTTTAACTCCTTATTTGTCAGCGAGTCAATTTTGCTGTTTTGCTGTTGTAATTTTAGAGTTTTTTTAAACACGAATCAAGGAACATGAAAGGCACTGCAGACTACTTCAACCAGAGAAGTCAGCCATAGCAGAGCACCTGATGAACCAGCCTGGACGCAGCATATTATTTGAGAACACAGAAATGCTGGACCACACCAACAACCACCATGTCAGACTACACAGAGAAGCCATTGCAATCCACAAGCATGTGGACAATTTCAACAGAAAGGAGGAAACCATGAAAATGAACAAAATCTGGCTACCAGTATTAAAAAAACTCTAAAATTACAACAGCAAAACAGCAGAGAGGAAACAAACAAGGACATCTTAACCCCTCTCAACAAAAGATTTTCCCAGGCTCAGCCAGGCCTTCAAATGCTAATGAAGGTGGTCAGCTGAAACATTCACACCTAGCTCCAGCAGAGGAGAGCTCCTTGCCCCACCCCAGCCATTCCACAGATATATAAACCATTTTCCTATTTCCAACACACCTCACTACCTCTGAGGATGCTTGCCATAGATGCAGGCGAAACGTCAGGAGAAATGCCTCTAGAACATGGCCCTATAGCCCGAAAAAACCCACAAGAACCTAATTCACTTAAAATTTCTCTCATAATTTTGTGACTCCTTTCTGGCATTTTAATCCTTAATTTCATTACGAATGTATAAATTTTTGGAAAAAATGTTTTAAAAGTCTTCTAGAAAGCTGGTTTCAATTTGATAACATTAAGCTTCAGAATTTAAATACATAACAGAATTAACACAAGTTTATTATAAACTAATATTTCAGGAGGGAGCCACCAGTGGCACAGCAAGTTAAACCACTGAGCTGCTGAACTTGCTGACTGAAAGGTCAGCAGTTCGAATCTGGGGAGTAGGGTGAGCTCCCACTGTTAGCCCCAGCTTCTGCCAACCTAAAATTTTGAAAATATGCAAATGTTAGTAGATCAATAGACACTGCTTCTGCAGGAAGGTAACGGCGCTCCATGCAGTCAGGCTGGCCATATGACCTTGGAGGTGTTTATGGACAATGCCAGTTCTTCAGCTTTGCAATGAAGATGAGCACCACGCCCCAGAGTCGGACACGACTAGACTTAATGTCAAGGGGAAACCTTTACCTTTAGTTTTTAGATATAGTGATGTTTTTAGATATAGTGTAATGTTATGTTTTATTTTTATTGATGTATGTGTTTTATATATGGCATCGAATTGTGCCAATTGTTCGCTGCCCTGAGTCGCAATTTGGGCTGACATGGGCGGGGTAAAAATGATATAAATACATAAATATATAGTATTTCGGGGTGATGGGTCTTTATATGGTATGGCATTGTTTACGCTTAACATTCCTTTTTCTGCATCAGTGATGCTAGTGCTGATGGGGATTAGGGTTGTATTTAGTAACTTTTCCCTATTTTAAAAAAATGTATGCCTTCAAAAAATGTTTTCCTATCAGTATTGATCCTTGAGATAACTTTATCTCTCCTTCCACAGGATATTTCTCATTTGCTAGCAAGTGTCTTTAAGAACATGTATACCTCAGAGGTGATAGGAGTGGACACCGTGGAGAATATGATCAAGTCCCGTGGCGGAGACAATGTCCATCATGAGGAGTTCGTTAAAGAGTTACAAAAGGTAAAGTCTTAATTCAGTCCTATTAAAGAGAATATAAATGAATTAAACTCTATAATAAATAATTCACAAAGTCAGAAGGCTGACAGGAAAATATTATGTAAACATCTGTAATTTGAGGAGGGGAGGGAGGGTGAATGGGATAGTAAAAAATCATAAATAGTGATTTGTGAATGCATTATGATATGGTATGAAATATGCAATACTTTGTAATTATTTCTTTAAAAAATAAAAAGGAATGTCATAATTTGCACTATCAGAAAAATTGTCCCAATTAAGAAGAAAATGAACATACTTAAAGAAGAAGTGAAATAAATGTAGAAAAGGGGGAGGGATTAGAATAAGAATTTACTTACGTCTTCAGTACAGAATTGGGATTAAATTTGAAACTGCATTGCTGTGAGTTTTCCGGGCTGTATGGTCATGTTCCAGAAGCATTCTCTCCTGCTTATGGTAAAACTAATGTGTCAGGGAGTTTTCTCTGACTTCCTGAGAGGTTGAGAGTGTGTGACCTGACCAAGGCCCCTCAATGGATTTCCACAACTGAGTGAAGAAAACTGTATTGAATGATGTACAGCTGTTCTAGGAAACTTAAAGATCTAAACCAGGCATGGGCAAACTTGGGCCCCCCAGGTGTTTTGGACTTCAACTCCCACAATTCCTAACAGCCAGTACTATGAGGAATTGTGGGAGTTGAAGTCGAAAACACCTGGAGGACCAAAGTTTACCCATGCCTGATCTAGATCCATACATCAAAGAAGTAAATAGCTAATTCCACAATTGCTATTTCAGGTCAGGAAGAAATACAAAGACGAATTGGCAGAAGCAGATATGCTAGAAAGGCACATCATCCAAGCCAGGGCTCGGGCCACAGCAGAAGAGGAAAGGATCCTGAATGAATACAAAGATGACGTTCCAGAAGGTTACCGTCACATTGCGTTGCCACCGGGTGAGCAGAGCGAAAGTCTCCCATTCCCCATTTTACATTAGCAAGATTCAGACTACAGATCACTTTGATTCACAGGGAAAGTCATTACTGAATCCAGTATTCATTTGGCTTACATATCAATGGTACATAGAAGTTTAATTGTAGATTGAGACATTATTTCTTTCTCTCTAAATTAAACTACAGTATAACTTGTTTGAGGGTGTATAATTTGTGATATAAAAGAGGGCCAGCTCATATGGAATGAGAACCAAAGAAATGGTTTTAATGTATAATGTTTTGAACCTTTGCCACAATGAGAAAAGATCCAACAGCTAAATCAGCAGTCAGAATTTTAGACACAACTTAAGGCCTATTTTAAACTTTATTTTATCGGCAGACTTTGAACTGCATTTTAACTGTATTTGTTATATGGATTTTAATAGCAATTTGTAAGTAATAAATTATTATTATTATTTGAAACACAACAAGATGAGTCCACAGCAGACACTCTGCTGGCTGTTGTATTGGGTCACATGTCGGACACTTCCCAAGTGTCTAGGACTGTGTGATGTATCGGCAAATAATGCGTGCAGATCCCAGTAAGGTGGCCTTCTGCAGCTGGCAGCTGGTAATTTTGTCAGCGCCGATTGTGTTTAAGTGCAGGCCAAGGTCTTTAGGCACTGCACCCAGTGTGCCGATCACCACTGGGACCACCTTTACTGGTTTGTGCCAGAGTCTTTGCAGTTCGATTTTTAAATCCTCATATCGTGTCAGCTTTTCCAGTTGTTTCTCTGCAATCCTGCTGTCACCTGGGATTGCGACATCAACGATCCATACTTTGTTTTTTAACACGATTGTGAGGTCAGGAGTAGATGCTCCAAAACTCTGTCTGTCAATTCGGAAGTCCCAGAGGAGTTTGGCATGTTCATTCTCTGTAACTTTTTCCGGCTTGTGATCCCACCAGTTCTTTGTCGCAAGCAGATGGTATTTGTGGCACAAGTTCCAATGAATCATTTGAGCAACGGTGTTGTGCCTCTGCTTGTAGTCTGTCTGCGCTATTTTCTTGCAGCAACTCAGGATGTGATCTATTGTTTCATCTGCTTCCTTGCAGAGTCTACATTTGGGATTTGTTGTCGAATTATTATTATTATTATTATTATTATTATTATTATTATTATTATTATTATTATTATTAGGATGGCTGGCTTTAGACTGGTATCAAGATAGACAGAAAAGAATCGTAAGCAATACATGGTTGTGGTGCTATCCTCATTTCACCTTAGTTGCTGTTCCTTTTGAGTTCAGAAGCTGGTTCCCAGTTCGTTTTTAAAAAAATGTATTTTGCTACTATGTGCAGAAATGACAGTCTTTGTCTTAAAAAACTTACCATCTCTCTTTAAATGTGAATGTTATAGTAAAGTCTACCTTCAGATGGTGCGTGGATGATGAACTTCTGGAAAAGCATAATTTAATCAGCCCGAAGGATTACATCACAGATCCAGAGCTCATTACTCGGGCACCAAAAGGTAACTTTTACATGAGGATTTTCATAGCTTTCAGCAATGTAATACCGAATTAGAAGAAACACATTTACATTGAAGAAGTTTAGAATAATAATCGGAGTTTGACAGTCTTATCTTAAATTACAGTTTTATGTAAAATATCCAAAAACATTTAACCTTCTGATGCCTAAATTAATGTAATTTTATTGGTATCTATTTTTATTTTGAAATTTACCCATAGCTGCTGCATTTCCCACCTTCGGCTTATACTCGAGTCAATAAGTTTTCCCAGTTTTTTTTTTTTTGTGGTAAAATTTGGTGCCTCAGCTTATATTCGGGTCCACTTATATGCAAGTATATACGGTAACCACATTTACATAATAATAAGGAGAGTAAAAGAATAAATGTTATAATAATAATAATAATAATAATAATAAGTAAAATAATGGAAATGAATTAATAGCAGTAATAATAGAGTAAATAATAAATGTAATAATAACAGGATAAAATAATGTAAATGTAATAATAATAATAAATAGAGTAAAATAATAAATGTAATTATTATAATAATAACAGAGTAAAATAATAAATAACTTTGACTCAAGTATAAGCCATAGGGGGCTTTTTCAGCCTAAAAAAGGACTGAAAAACTGGGCTTATACCCGAGTATATATGATATATAGTATCGTAAGGGAGTAGAGCAATAAAGGACAAAGATCAACCGATAGTGAGTGTGAGGCTCTTCGAACTGTCTTTGTGTATTTGTTGGTTAGTATAGTTTGTGTGTCTGTGTTAATATTGGTAAGTGTGTTCTCTGTGTGTTTGTTCTCGTTTGGTGACTTGAAGGCATGTACATTTACACATATACACACACAAACCACTTTGAGTCCCATATTTTGAGATATGTGGGATATAAATAAAATAAAATCAATAACTATCTGGAAATGCCATAGATCCCAGCAAAATGTACAGTTAGTTTTTGTGCAATCCACATTTGACCATGGGCTTTTTTTCTGTCTACTGCAGAAATATCCGAGCCTGGCTACTTGAAAGAAATCGAGAGTTTTCAACACCATATTTCTGACAATTCAATGTCTACCAAACTGAAAGAAAGTCCACACATTAAGAAACTACAAGAAAGTTTTCCAGATGTGTCTTTATCTAGCTTTACCATGGAGTCTTCAACTACTGATGTTCCAAGTCGTATTAAAAAATCATTCATTAAGGTACCTCTCTGTGCAGTCTTTCTCCCAGAATTGAAGGCAGCTAAGCTGAAACTACTGTATGTTATTCATATTCATATTGTGAGACAGCTTTGAATACATTTTAATCAGTTTTAAGGATTTTAACGGTTTGTTTTTAATTAATACCATTGAGGTGGAATTCTATTTTAATGTTTGTATATTTTTGGATTTTAAATTGTATTGAAATACTTTTATTGTAAGCTGCTTTATAGAGAGAGAAAGTGGGTTATAAATAAACATAGTAATAATAATACTTACTGAAAAGGATAGTAAAAGTAGAAATCAGCAAGAAAAGTGGAAAAACACCTTACAGGTTGCATCAAGGAAGCCACAGCTTTGAGTTCGCAAGAGCTGAAGAGGGCAGGGCCATTGGAAGACTTAGGTTCATAGGGTCTTCATAAATGGAAGTTGACTTAATAGTAAATAAAAAAAAATCAGTGTCAATGCTTTTATGGTTTTTTAAAAATCTACTAACCTCAAAGACCATTACTGCCATACTGTGGCCAGGTTTTCTCTTGGCCTGCAAGGATTGTTTTACTTTTGTAAGAGCAATGTTTGCCTTTTGTCCTGCTTTTTATTTTTGTGAATGCCTTTGGGTTTCATGGAACTGATAGCATCCCTATTGAGCCTTTAAATATAAAGGAAGCTGTCAGACTGTTTCTATGAAAAAGAAAAAGAAAGCAAGTCGCTAATGGGTCTAGACTGAGTCTAGAGTTCTGCATCAATAAACCCAAACTCTGATCACATGGTACATTTTTCTGTGGCCAGAATAAACTGGGAAATAAGGATATCTTATGAGTTACATAATATAGACCATTTTGCAACTGAACCAAGGGTGTTGTGTGTTGTAAAACAGCAACAGCTTATCTAATATTTGAGTTTTGCAATGAGTATGTTGTGGAATGGAATGTATAGACTGTGTAATAAAATACAAAAGACATAAATGCATGATATTTGGACAACAGTGTTCTGCAAATAGGTGTGGTGAGTTAAGAAGAGGAGGTTATGAGAAAAGAATTAGTTCAGTGGGTTGTTGTGAGTTTTCCAGGCTGTATGGTCATGTTTCATAAGCATTTTTTCCTGACGTTTTGCCCACATCTGTGAGAAGCATCCTCAAAGGTTGTGAGTTCTATTGGAAACTAGGCAAGCGGGGTTTATATATCTGTGGAATTTCCAGAGTGGGAGAAAGAACTCTTGTCTGCTTGAGGCAAGTGTGAATGTTGTAATTGGCCACCATGACTAGCATTGAATAGCCTTGCAGCTTCAAAGCTTTGCTATTCTTGCCTGGGGAATCCTTTATTGGGAGATGTTAGCTGACCCTGATTGTTTCCCATCTGGAATTCTCCTGGGTTTGTTTTTTTTTTTAGTTTTGCTTTTTATTTACTGTCCTGATTTTAGCGTTTTTAAATACTGGTAGCCAGATGTTGTTCATTTTTGTGGTTTCCTCCTTTTTGTTGAAATTGTCCACATGCTTGTGGATTTCAATGGTTTTTCTGTGTAGTCTGACATGGTGTTTGTTAGAGTGGTCCAGCATTTCTGTGTTCTCAAATAATATGCTGTGTCCAGGTTGGTTTTGTCAGGTGCTCTGCTATGGCTGACTTTTCTGGTTGAAGTAGTCTGCAGTGCCTTTCATGTTCCTTGATTTGTGTTTGGGCAATGCTGCATTTGGTGGTCCCCATGTAGACTTGTCCACAGCTGCATGGTATGTGGTAGATTCCTGCAGAGGTGAGAGGATCCCTCTTGTCCTTTGCTGAACGTAATATTTGTTGGATTTTCTTAATGGGTCTGTAAATATTTTGTAGGTTGTGTTTCTTCATCAGCTTCCCTGTGCTTGGACATTTTGGACATTCCACAGATAAAACCTCACTTGCCTAGTTTCCAACAGGCCCCTCAACCTCTAAGGATGCCTCCCATAGATGTGGGCAAAGCGTCAGGAGAGAATGCTTTGGACATACAGCCCTGAAAACTTACAGCAACCTAGTGATTCTGGCCATGAAGGTCTTTGACAACAGAATTAGTTCAGATCTTCAGTGGCAACCCCCCTTTGAACAAATCTTACCAAAAAAATTACCAAGAAGATAGGTTAATCTTTGTTGTTGTTGTTCATTCGTTCAGTTGTTTCCGACTCTTTGTGACTTCATGGACCAGTCCACGCCAGAGCTCCCTGTCGGTTGTCACCACCCCCAGCTCCTTCAAGGTCAATTTAGTCACTTCAAGGATATCATTCATCTTAGGGATCTTAGGTTCATCTTAAGGGTACAGTAATTCAGAAACAACTTGAAGGCATACAACAGCAGCATTTTTATCGTACCTCAAAATGTGTGCTTGCGCTTATAGCTTTTACCAAAATGTGCTTGTCCATTGCTGTTTCTCTTGGCATCTATTTGTACATGAAGCTTGTACAAGCAAAAGTTGAGATTCCCACCATCCTGGCATAAACTGCCACATTTCCTAGGCCAAATAGGTTGTGATTGTGGATGTTTTGATTTCTGGATGAAGAAAGCCTTGTATCCCAGGCATAATGATTATGAACGAGGCTTTTCTAAAGAGTCATCTGAAAGCATGTTTTCATTGTGTCTCCTGTCAGAAGAAAGCTACCCTCTTCCAAAAACCTATTTGGATGAGTAGCATGTCCAGAGCTGAAAGGCAAAAAGACCGCGCTTACCTGCAGAGGCTTGACGAACGCCATAACTTCTTGAAAAACCCGCGCTACTTCTCACCCAACTCTGATCGTGGAGGACGGTCCTTGATTCTGCCTCAAAAGAGGGTGCAGCGTATGGTCGCAGGAAGAAAAAAGATGGTGGTTCTTGAAAGGTAGCAGGACTATTCTTTGCAAAAAGGAATGAAGCAAGAATCTTTGTAATTGTACAAGCTCCTTTGAGTTCCCGAAGCCATGATCTCCACCATGGCTTCAGGAAAATGGGTTAAACCCTTGAGCTGGCAGGACTGCTGACTGGTTTGAATCCAGGGAGCAAGGTGAGCTCAGTCAGCTCCAGCTTCTCATGCAGGAACATAAGAGAAGCCTCCCACAAGATGGTAAAACATCTAGGCATCTCTTGGGCAACGTCCTTGCAGACGGCCAATTGTCTCACACCAGAAGGGACTTGCAATTTCTCAAGTCGCTACTGTCACAAAGAAAAACAAACATCACATACCATTTAAATTGCCATGGCCTGTGCATTACAGAAGGGGAGAAGTGAGCTAGAGGTTGAAGAATCAGCCACATTCAGTGTTGCAGTGCATTAAAAATGTTATTTATTTATTTCTTTAAAAAAATTTATATTCCGCCCTTCTCACCCCGAAGGGGACTCAGGGCAGAGCACAGCATATATACGGCAAACATTCAATGCCGGGACATAAATTCTTATATACATACATAAACATTAAAAACATTTATCAAAATATTAAAATACACTATTTAAAACCGTCCTTGTCATCCACGTCAAATCTAATTGGCCTGGTAATCTTTCCTATTGTTGCTTTATTTCCCTGTCCCAAAAGCTTAGTCCCACAGCCAAGTTTTTACCATCCTTCTAAAGGACAGGAGAGAGGGGGCCGACCTGATCTCACCAGAAAGGGAGTTCCATATCCAGGGGGCAATCACCGAGAAGGCCCTGTCTCTCGTCCCCACCAATCGTGCCTGTGACAATGGCGGGACGGAAAGCAGGGCCTCCCTGGAGGATCAATCTCTGCGATGGTTCATAGGGAGAGATGCTTTCGGACAGGTAATTTGGGCCGGGGCCGTTTAGGGATTTATAGGCCAAAGCCAGCACTTTGAATTGTGCTCAGTAGCAAACTGGCAGCCAGTGGAGCTGGCGTAACATGGGAGTTGCATGCTCCATGTATGCTGCCCCTTTTATTAACCTGGCCTCCTCTCATTGGACTAGTTGAAGCTTCTGAGCAGTCTTCAAAGGCAACTCCACATAGAGTGCATTGCAGTAGTCTATCCTAGATGTAACGAGAGCGTGGACCACTGTGGCCAAGTCTGACTTCCCAAGATACGGGTGCAGCTGGCACACAAGTTTTAATTGTGCCACCGCTGCAACATGGGATTCCAGGCTCATGAGTCCAGGAGGACTCCCAAGCTGCGAACCTGTGCTCTGGAGCAGGCAAGGTCAAACTTCGGCCCTCCAGGTGTTTTGGACTTCAACTCCAAATGGTAGGCTGTTAGGAATTGTGGGTGTTGAACACTTGGAGGACTGAAGTTTGCCCATGCCTGATCTAGTGGATAACTCAATGTTAGGGGTGCTCATGATCCCCAGATTGAGATTTGAATGAAGTTTACCAAAATCCTTTTTAAAAATCAATTCTGTCTTTTCATTTCAGCGATTCCCACTCTGTGCCTATTTTCCTAGCAAACCCACCAGAAGTCGTGTTTTCTTATTATGAAGTTGGCCAGGTTTATGAGGTGAGAGCTTTTTTGCTTCACAAACAAGGATTACTGGCTTTGACATTGCCCAATATTTGCTTTCCTTCGTATACATTTCAGTCTTAGTAATAGCTAAGATATTTCTCAAACACTTCATAACATGTTATTATTTTTTTACTAGATATTGCTCAGTTCCTTCCGAATGGTATGGCTCTCATTTTGAATAGCCAAGATGGGCCAGGAGAGGTTATTTGTTGCCTTCCAAAAATAAATTCTCTATGTCTTTACAGATGACTGTAGAGTTACAGAACATGACCTCAACCTCTCAGTGTATCAGAATAATTCCTCCGGCTACATCAGCCTTTTCTATTGGGTTGGGTGAGTTCTCACTGGATTCCATAATGTAAAGAATGTTTGTAAATTTCCTCATAAAGTGGAATTTTTAAAATATTTGCAGATGGTTCTGCATTTGTTCCATACCGGCCGGAAGGAATAGAAGGTGTGGCGTAGGTAAGGAGCAAAACCTTCAAGTCCACAGGGACCTCTTTTTTTTCCTGTAACAGCCATTTGTCCTTGAGACAAACAAAATGCATGCAATCCCTAAGTTACAAACACGATAAATTATGTAGATTTGTTCTTAAGTTAAATGTGTATGTAAGTCAGTGCAGATACATTTTAATGTATCTAGCCCTCTATCTATCTATCTATCTATCTATCTATCTATCTATCTATCTAATCCAAGCTGGAATGTGTCCAGAGAAGGGCAACTAAATTGATCAAGGGTCTGGAGAACAAGCCCTATGAGGAGCGGCTTAAGGAGCTGGGCATGTTTAGCCTGAAGAAGAGAAGGCTGAGAGGAGATATGATAGCCATGTATAAATATGTGAGAGGAAGCCACAGGGAGGAGGGAGCAAGCTTGTTTTCAGCTTCCTTGGAGACTAGGACGCGGAACAATGGCTTCAAACTACAAGAGAGGAGATTCCATCTGAACATGAGGAAGAACTTCCTGACTGTGAGAGCTGTTCAGCAGTGGAACTCTCTGCCCCGGAGTGTGGTGGAGGCTCCTTCTTTGGAGGCTTTTAAACAGAGGCTGGATGGCCATCTGTCAGGGGTGATTTGAATGCAATATTCCTGCTTCTTGGCAGGGGGTTGGACTGGATGGCCCATGAGGTCTCTTCCAACTCTTTGATTCTATAATTGTATGATTCTATGATTCATCTTGCCTCTCTCCTGAGGAATCTGTATAAGGACCAAGTAGCACCAGTAAGAACTGACCATGGAACAACAGACTGGTTCAAGATTGGGAAAGGCGTAGGCAGGGTTGTATACTCTCACCCAACCTATTCAACTTGTATGCAGAACACATCATGCAATGTGCAGGGCTTGATGAATGCAAGGCTTGGGTAAAATTGCTGCAAGAAACATTAACAACCTTAGATGTGCAGATGATACCACTTTGATGGCCAAAACCGAGGAGGAGCTGAGGAGCCTTCTAATCAAGGTGAAAGAAGGAAGTGTAAAAGCTGGGATGCAGTTAAACATAAAAAGAACCAAGATGATGGCAACAAGAATGATTGACAACTGGGAAATAGAGGGAGAAAACCTGGAGGCCATGACAGACTTTGTATTTCTAGGCGCAAAGATTACTGCAGCCAGGAAATCAGAAGACGTTTCCTTCTTGGGAGGAGAGCAATGACCAATCTCGATAAAATAGTGAAGAGTAGAGACATCACACTGGCAACAAAGATCCGCATACTCAAAGCAGTGGTATTCCCCATAGTAACATGGATGTGAGAGCTGGACCACAGGGAAGGCTGAGTGAAGATAGGTGCTTTTGAACTGTGGTGTTGGAGGAAAGTTCTGAGAGTGCCTTGGACCGCCAGAAGATCCAACCAGTCCATACTTCAGGAAATAAAGCCCGACTGCTCATTGGAGGGAAGGATAGTAGAAGCAAAGATGAAGTACTTCGTCCACATCATGAGAAGAAAGGAGAGCTTGGAGAAGACAATGATGCTGGGGAAAATGGAAGGAAAAAGGAAGAGGGGCCGACCAAGGGCAAGATGGATGGATGGTCTCCTTGAAGTGACTGGCTTGACCTTGAAGGAGCTGGGGGAGGTGACGGCTGACAGGGAGCTCTGGCATGGGCTGGTCCAGGAGGTCATGAAGAGTCAGAAGCAACTGAACGAGTGAACAAATATATATATATATGAGCCCCCGGTGGCGCAGTGGGTTAAAGTGCTGAGCTGCTGAGCTTGTTGATCGAAAGGTCGCAGGTTCGATTCCGGGGAGCGGCGTGAGCTTCCGCTATCAGCCCTACCTTCTGCCAACCTAGCAGTTCGAAAACATACAAATGTGAGTAGATTAATAGGTACTGCTCCGGCTGGAAGGTAATCGCGCTCCATGCAGTCATCACCTTGGACGTGTCTATGGACAATGCCGGTTCTTTGGCTTAGAAATGGAGATGAGCGCCACACCCCAGAGTCGGACATGACTGGACTTGATATAGGTAAAGGTTGTCCCCTGACAACCTTTTGGATAGCATAGGGAAGGGTTAACACTTTTGTGACATTTGTTTTGCTGTCTGTGCCCCTGTTCAGAAGACATTATGTCCCCTTGATAATTAGATTTTGAAAAATTTGGCTTGTGGTGGGAACAAGGATTTGTGCTACAACTTCAGTGGAGACACTCCCCTCACCAATGATACTCTTCCAGTAATAGATACTAGGGCTGGGCGGTTTCGTTTCGTTAATTCATAATTCGTTAAAAATTAGTTATTTTTTTTATAACGAAGTGATAACGAACCATTCTGGAGCAACTTAAAAATGAAACGAATTTTTAAATTTGTTTCGTAAATGTTTCGGATTCGTTATGTATTCATTTCATTATCGGTTTGAGGTCGTTTCGTTATTATTTCCGCATGTCTGGGGCAAGTTTTATAGTTGTTTTTTGTTTAATTAGTGAAAAAATATAATATCACACCAACAGTCAACAACAGAGGGAGAGGGAAGCTTCAGAAGTTTCCCCTGTCCCATTTGGAGGTTTTTTAGCGTATTGCGCGGTCGCGTCCGCCATTAACGAATCGATTCGTTATTGTTTCGTATTTGTTTCGTTAATGTTAATTTTTTTAACATTTACGAAATTTCGTAAATATCAAACTTTTTAAAAGAAAATTTTTGGAATTCTTTAAAATATCGAAACGCAACCCCCCCAAAAAACGAATCGATTTTAGAAACAATTTTTTCCGTTGTTACCCAGGCCTAATAGATACCCCTTTCTGGGATAGATTTCCTTTCACGTCCTGTTGTCTCACCCCTGTTCTTAACCTAAAACAATGCTTTAAGGGCTTTAAATCAATATAATTAAAGTCAGGGAATAGTCCAAAATAGAGCCCCTAATATTTATATATAGTGCACTCTACTGTAAACCATATTACTCAACATGGAGTGCTCCATTGATCAGTATATGTGTTTCTGCCAAAACGAGATTTGAAAAACCCTGCATTGTTGGTGGCTGTCATATTCCAGGTTCTGGAACTGGTTTGAGGTCAGCCTCTTCAGTGCATGTGAGCATCATCCAGATCTCAAGCCAGTTCCAGGATTACTAATCAAATTCTCCCCACATTGAAACAATGCTTTCTTTTATGCTGGCTCAAAGCTTACCCCAGTGGTCAGTGCAGATGTGCTCTTAGATCAGAGGTCCTCCAACTAAGGTGCGTGGTTCGGATTCGGCCCTCCAAAGTAATTTACTCAGCCCCAGCCCTAAACTTTAGACTGAGTCTGAAATGACTTGACCAGAGTTTGGGAATCACTGCTCTAAGGAGCCTGTGCTTCTTTTCCAGGAAAATTTCCAGGAGAAGGAGGACTTATTGCTCCGGGAATGAGCTGTTACCATGAAGTTCAGTTCATTCCTGAATACCTGTCGGATTATGATGATTATATCCTGGTAGAGTCGCAGGCGCCATATCCGTTCTTCATCCCTTTGAAAGGTAGAAGACCGCCTCCTGTTTTGACACGTGAGTAGACTTTTACCAACCTCAGTGATCCATAATTTGTATTTTATTAATATTCTGCATCTTTGGAATTTCAAAAACGGTTTTAGCTTCAGTGTTTTACATTTTTTTTATTGAAAACAAAATAACATATTTGAACAGATAATAAATGTCTATTGTAGGCTTACATTATGATAACATATTTCTGTATTATGTATTCACATTCTTTACAGATTCATTCATATTACATTTTGTATTTTTTCTCCCCTCTCCTCCCACCACCCTTTCCTACCCCTCCCACCACTTTTCTCTCTATATCTTTATTTTTAACCACCTCTCCTCCCACCACCCTTTCCTACCCCTCCCACCACTTTTCTCTCTATATCTTTATTTTTAACCACAAACACAACCTTTTTAACCTTTTTGTACAATATCATTGCTGGCTTCTCCTTCTTCTATCTATTTCATATAAGTTGCCCATTTCTCTTTAATTTCTTCTGTTTTGTCCTCCTGTGAACCTTCTTGCCAATGGGATTTTGGCCTCAGTCAATGGGAGTCTAGTGTCTAGGTCCAGGGAAGTCATGCTATTTCTCTATTATGCTTTGGTTAGACCACATCTGGAATACTGTGTCCAATTCTGGGCACCACAATTCAAAAGCGATATTGACAAGCTGGAATGTGTCCAGAGGAGGGCGACTAAAATGATCAAGGGTCTGGAGAACAAGCCCTATGAGGAGCGGCTTAAAGAGCTGGGCATGTTTAGCCTGAAGAAGAGAAGGCTGAGAGGAGACATGATAGCCATGTATAAATATGTGAGAGGAAGTCACAGGGAGGAGGGAGCAAGCTTGTTTTCTGCTTCCCTGGAGACTAGGACACGGAACAATGGCTTCAAACTACAGGAAAGATGAGGAAGAACTTCCTGCTGTGAGAGCCGTTCAGCAGTGGAACTCTCTGCCCCGGAGTGTGGTGGAGGCTCCTTCTTTGGAAGCTTTTAAACAGAGGCTGGATGGCCATCTGTCAGGGGGTGCTTTGAATGCAATTTTCCTGCTTCTTGGCAGGGGTTGGACTGGATGGCCCATGAGGTCTCTTCCAACTCTATGATTCTATGATTCTTGGGTTATACATGCAATAATATCTGATTGGACTTGCTCAAATAAATAGTTATTCCAATTTTCCATATTCCATTTTTTCATCTCTCCATCCCTAGGCTATTACCGCCTTTCCTGCTAAGATCATTGCTTTAAATAGGTCTTGGTTCTTGGCAGCAATGTTTTTATTCCCTGTAATTGCCATTAACATAAATTCCATATTGACTTGAATTGTTATTTTGAAAAGTTTCCCCATTTTTTAAATTATCTTATCCCAAAAAGTTGTTGCATTTAAACAGCCCCACCACATATGTGCATACCAGCCTTTCTCTACTTTACAATGCCAACACATTGGGCTTAGTCCTGTTCCCATATTTGCGTTTTAGCTTCGGTGTTAATCGTGTCGTCTCACCTCCCATTTCTTAGGGGTAGGATTCATGAATGAACAGCCTTTGGAAAGTTCTTGTTAAGGAAAACTACCCTAAAATATAACAGAGCATCCACAAATCAAACTGGATACAAAAGTTGAGCAATAGCTCACAGCTAGCAAAGGATGAAGTGCCATGTGATGTGGCTGTAAAGAATTCAGAGCTTAGGAGGCAAACATGCAGAGTCCAATATTAAAAATCACAAAAGGTTTATTTACAGTAATAAGAAATAACCTCATTTCTTAATAATCAAGAACAGGGACTGAGCTACTCCAACACCCATCTCTTCTAAGGTTTCAAGAGAGGGAAAAACTCAATCACTACATCTCTCCTGACACATAAGCAGAGAGAGATCTCAAGGCACACAGCACATATTCTCCAAACTAAAGCGTAAGAAGGCCGAAATCAGATTTAAAAAAGTATGCATTTTAAACAACCAATTACAATGAGAGCATAAACACAGAGGAAAGAAGAAATTAGATACATCTCCAACTGTCATACAGGAGATAAGAGGGAAGGGAAACCCTTCATCTATGCTAAACTAACTAACTGTTCCTCATTGAAGACTTGAGACTTGGGCAGTATGAGGTTGAATTCCAATAATAGGAATGTCAGAATGAAAAACGTTCCTGCCAGATTGCTTGTTTCGATAGATCAGGCATGGGCAAACTTGGGCCCTCAAGGTGCTTTAGACTTCAGCTCCCACAATTCCTAACAGGGTGTCAGGAATTATGGGAGTTGAAGTCCTGGAGGGCCCAAGTTTGCATAGATTATCTCTACATAGATGATCTCTGATCATGATAGCTTTAGTAAAAGGGTTGCTTCTTTTGTGCCAGCCATCCTAACTTGTTCTGCTCTTTATTTATTTACGACATTTATATGCTGCCCTTCTCACCCCGAAGGGAACTCAAAGCGGTTTACAAGGTATATATTACATACAATATATTATATTACTAGCATAGTACAATATCAGCATTAAATATTGCTATATTGCACTATATCAATTATACTGTAATATTATTAGTAATATTACATGTAATATAAATATATAATTATAATATCATATTATTATTATATAGTATTACATTATAATATTATAAATATTATATATATATATATATATATATACCCCCCCCCCCCCCTTCACTCTGGCCCAGAGTGACAGTTGGTGTTGAGGGGAGGGGTCTCCAGCTGATGGCATATCCAGGAGACAGGATGCTATTTTACTTGTGTTTTGCTCTAGTGCCTTCCACCTTGGACTGTGGTGCCTGCCTCGTAGGCGGAGTAAAATTTACACAATTTCCTTGCAAAAACGAAGGTTCCAGCACTGGGAAGTTTTGCATCATGCCAAAGGGCATCTGGCCACCCCCTAACTTCCGGGTAAGAAAGCAAGTATGGTTGAATGGGAAGACTTGTGCTCTTATTCCCATGAATTGCATCAGAGATTTTGAAGGTTTTGTGGTGTTTCTTCTCTTTTTGAAGGCTGTTGCCACTTTTGGTTATGTGGAGCAAGACGTATTTGGGATTCATCCAGCAGTATTTGAGCTAGCTCCTGGCCAGTCGACAGTAATTGAGGTTAGTTCAGTACCTTTTGCCTTATCAACAGTTTGCAGGATTTTAGACGAAACAGGGATGAAAGGTGAAAATAGAAGGGACGTGGTTTTAAAAAGGGAATTTTCAGAGATGTTCCCAATGGCCCTATGTTATGATTTCTTGCCATATTGGCCTGTTTCTACAGTAGGCCTTTGTTTACAGAAAATGCTGATTGTTTGAGAAAACTGTTGCAGAGAAGAAGTTACTATTCAAGGATAACAGTACATCCAGACAAATGATTTAATTCTAATGTAATTCATTTGTGATCCTATGAGCACTATTGTTTTCCTGATGTTGAAAACTTCTCTTCCAGGTTGTCTTCATGCCCATTTTACCCGAAACCTTTACAGTGACGTACCTCATGGTTTGTGACAATTGCCAGATCAACGAGATTACGGTGACAGGTTTGCTGCCAACATCTTTGGAAGTTTCCTATGCAAGCTGAAATTGTTTTGCGGCCAGGACAAGAGATTCTTCAGTGAAGGGTCATCAGTAGCTTCCTTTCCTTTTGCCCAGTACCCAAGGGAGATAGTTGGACATGCCAACAGAGTTTCCTGGAAAATGATGCAGATCAAGCAACAAGACATATTCAGGAGCCCAAGATTTCAATGTGGAAGTGTGCAACACGTGGCATTGTTAGTGAGGTTCTTAGATAGTTGCTGTAGGAAAGAAATTTGTCTGAAGCACCAGGGAGCTACTATGAGAGCAGACGATCCTAGGCTACTTGCAGCAGTGATATTACAGCTTCATATGTTGTTCACTCCAGTCCATGGGAATGGCCCTATTGAATTTGACCCACCATGTCATTTTATGTGGCCCTCCAGATGCTGGACTACAACTCATCTTTAGACAACATGACAAAAGCTAATGGGAGTTGTGATACAGTAACTTCTGGAAGGCTGCAGTTTATTCTGTTTAGTCAGGATAGCGGGTCTTGGATTTAGCTATTTATTTATTTTTATTTACGACATTTATATGCCGCCCTTCTCACCCTGAAGGGGACTTAGAGCAGCTTACAAGTAAAAAGTAAATACAATATAGTGTATTATTATCATAGCACAATATTAATATTATGTATTACATTGTACTATAACATTATACCGTAATATTATTAGTACTATTACATTTAATATAAAATATATAATTATAATATATTATTATTAGTAGTAGTATATTGTATTACATTCTAATATTATTAATATCATCATCATCATCATCTTTAATTACCTATTAATCGCCCTCCATCCGAGATGCTCCAGGTGATTTACATAGCTAAAATTAACATGGGTCAAATGCTCTAGTAAAAAGCCAGGTCTTAAGTGCTAGGATAAAATGCCCCAAGTCACGCATGGCTCTCAAATAGGAAGGCAAGGAATTCCATAAGGGAGGGGCAGAAATAGAGAAGGCCTTGCGTCTGGTGCTTTCCCAGTGCACTTCCCTAGGACCCGGTATATAGAGCAAATCGCGTTGGGATGGTCGTGGCGACCTCCGATGATGGTAGAAGGAGAGACGGTCTCTAAGATACAATGGACCCTGGCCATATAAAGTTTTAAAGGTCAGGACCAGCATCTTATACAAACCACGATACTCAATTGGGAACCAGTGTAGATGCCGCAGCACTGGTGTTATATGGCATTTCATGGGTGTTTTTGTGAGTAACCTGGCTGCAGGCCAACATACAAGATATATACATATATATATATATATATATTATATTATATTATATTATATTATATTATATTATATTATATTATAAGCACACACACACCCCAGCACCAACCGCTGCTCTGAGATATAAATCTTGTGAATAGGATGATGTCTGACTTTAAAATGCCCTTTAATCTTTCCCCAACCTCAGAGGCACAAGTGCTGTAGGGTTGAAATTCCCATTATCCCCATCCCACGTGGTGGATAATCAAAAGTGATGAGAGTTGTCATTCCATAATATCTGGAGACCCAAACTGGGCAGAAACTAAACCATTATGTTAAAAAGTTATAGTTGACTCTCTGTATCTGTGGATGATTCTCCTTCCATGGATCCAGCAGCCCTTTGAAGGCAATCATAAGGCTGATGTGGCACTCAGTGAAAATGAATTTGACACCCCTGCTATAGACAGCACATCAGCTGTATTTCCTGATTTTTTGTTTATTGGGTTGTTGTAGGTTTTTCAGAATGTGTGGCCATGTTCTAGAAGCATTCTCTCCTGATGTTTTGCCTGCATCTATGGCAGGCATCCTCAGAGGTTGTGAGGACCTCACAACCTCTGAGGATGCCTGCCATAGATGCAGGCGAAACGTCAGGAGAGAATGCTTCTAGAACATGGCCATACAGCCCAAAAAACCTACGGCAACCCAGTGATTCCAGCCAGGAAAGCCTTTGACAATTTGTGTTTATTCTTTTGTTTCCAGGTCTAGGGCAGCTGATAGCTTTGGAACTGTTCTCTGTCACTGGTGGAGAAAGCCATCCCCTTCCTGGTGAACTTACCGATGTGACAGCTCAGCATCTCATTCGATTTGATTCTCTGAACCCCTATTCTGTAGCAGAGAAGATTCTGGTTCTTAGAAATATGACGTACGTATGATGCTCAAAGTACACAGCAAGAGTGGAGAACTTTTATTTTAAAAAAATCAGAACTGTGCCGTGAAATAGAAAGATAAAATTGCAGTTTTACTCTGTGATCTTCCATAAAAGCTACAGAACTCATTCATTGCTTTTCTTTGCTCAGCCACGTAGAACTTCCCTTCTTCTGGCAAATAATGAAACCTAACTTGCAGCCATTAATGTTGGAAGGAAAAGTGGACCTTGCAAAAATAAAGTACAACTTGGAAAGGGAGTCAGCTTTCTCTCTAACTCCGTCCATGGGAAAGCTACCTGCGCATTCCGACTTCCCCTTTACTCTCACATTCGCTCCAAAAAAGGTACAGCTTTGTTTGCTGTTGACTGATGGTGACTCTCAGCTTTTTGTGGCATTATTGTGCTATACGTATGTGTTGGATATCCTGCTCAATAAAGATTAATGAGCTCCCACTGAGAGGGTTAGAACTCAAGAGTGAAATAACATATTTCCTGAGAGGAGTAGTAAGCGAGACTTTCCAGTGTTATGACCTGTTTTCCACATTAAATTCTCTATATAGATCAGTCATGCATAATTTGTGACTGCCAAGCTAGATGCAGGTCACCAGTCATGTGCTGGGTTATTGGAACCTTTTGGATTTGGTAACTGCGGCCGACAGGAAAATATTTAAGTGCTGTCATATATGCTTAATGCTCTGAGTTCAGTTTGTTGGGTGCCGCCTCACAGG